TAGATATAATAAAAGGAAGGAAAAAGTAAAGAAGGAAAAATAAAGGAAGGAAGGAAAGAAGGAAGAAAAAATAAAAGGACATTTCTCTGTACTTAACACATTAGGTCATTCCAGATTAGCCAAATAGTTCCCAACTGTTATATATTCGCTTGCTTGCCTATTATTTATTATTTATTTATTTATTTGATGGAGCTTTTTTGATAAGGACTGTAAAGTCCTCTTTCTCAGTGGTGGCTAGTTGGCTTCAAACCCCTGTGAGAACTGGGAGGCCAGGTTCTTCACTGGAGAATGTTAGGCCTCCAGCAGCAACTAGGCCTCCAGCATCTTGGGCTGGATCAGACCTCGAAGCAGTGTCTTCTGTGATCATACAGAGATCATCGGCTCCTGCCACTACTCCTTTAAGTCTTCAGGACAGCTATGGCTGTCCCCCGCTTGAGTGGCCAGGGATTTTAATAACAAGCCTTTTCAGCCTAAATGGATTGAACATAGCTAAGGAAGGCACTCGAGGGATAGAAACCCATTTGGACTTTTTCCCATCCAACTTGGCTTTTTCCTAAAGTCTCTCTTTCATTTGGACTAGCTGGGGTCTGGGAGAGCCTGGAAAGAACATTGGATTCGGAGTCATAAGGGAATGGACCCTCTGGCTGTTCCCATATTCTTCTCTTTTTTCTTCTTTGCTGGAAGAAGACCATGTGCTCCTGGTAGACTTTTCTGGAAAAAAAAAAAAAAAAAAGATCTCAGAGCCCAGAGCAATATTCAAGCTCAGGAATAAGTACCGAAGCTCCCTCCATTTCAAATGCTCACACCTACAAACTGAAGCTTGTTCCAGGTCTTGGGTCAAGGTTAATGTGGCCTCAGTCACTGAGGAGCCTGTTGGCTGGTTCACACATTATTTCCTTCTCACAGCTGTTTTTTTTGTTTCCTAAATGGCAAGCCAGCTTCTTTCTAGTGACAGTGGGATTCATCATCATTACTATTATGTATAACGACTTAAATCACCCTTTCCATTATACAGCATCTTTCATCATGGGACCTGAGGAACTCTATAGATCACTTGAATTTTGCAATATGTTTGGCTGAGATGGACTTGGAAATCATAACATTTTCTGCTTATAGGAAAATTCACAGGTCATATCATTATCATATCATTATCCAAGGACCCAAGGCTGCTGTGGATGCCTAACATCTCACAGTAAAAGTGCTTAAAACTCCAGCTCCCACACCCTTCTCAGAACAGAGTCAGTGTCTGCTTCAGCTAACTTCCATTTGATCTACTTATGTAACTGATATTCCTTTCCATGTCATGCCCACTCCATTGTGTATACTTAGGCGGGTTTGAGTTGTGCTGTGTCTTGATCTCTCCCTTGTGAACTTTTTTATTTCTCCTGTTGTAGGCAGTCATCACATATACTGATCAAATTCTTTCCATGATAAATCTCCAAGCTTGATGTGTATATCATTTTTAATGTTCACAACTTCACTGATTTTCTCTGGACATATTCTTATTAGTTGATTTCTTAAGTGACAGACACTCTGTGCATCATTTTACTAACATGAAGGTAATCCTTGCATAAGATAAGCGAACCCAGACATGAACATGGTACTTACAAGTAGACTGTATTGGTGTGTGTGTGTGTGTGTGTGTGTGTGTGTGTCTGTGTGTCTGTGTGTCTGTGTCTGTGTCTGTGTGTGTGCCTGTGTGTATGAAAGAAAGAGATTACACGCGGGTGGGCATTTGTATGCAGGTATGTGTGTGTGTGCATATATATGTACATGAATACATGTGGAGGCCAGAGCACATCAGGTGTTGTTCCTCAGATGCCATCCACCTTGTAATGTAAGAGGTTCTCTAACTTCCTAGAACTCACCAAGAAGGCCTTGCTCCAGCCAGCCAGCAAGCTCCAGGGATCTACCCAGTTTCTACCTCCCTAATTCTAGAATTACAAGTGGCAGTTACATCTGGCATTTTAAAAATGTTGGTTCTGAGGATGAAACTCAATTCCTCAAGCTGTCAAGGCAAGTGCTTTATTGACTGAGGTATCTCCCCAGCCCCAAGACCAAACATTTGTTTTATGACTTGCAAACACATGTAAAATTAGAATAATTTTCTTTTGTGATGATGGTGATGGAACCTCTGAGGATGGCTGGGAGATTTTGGTAACAGAGGAGACAAAGCCAGGAATTTCAAGCAAGAAAAATATAGTGAGTTTTCCCATGCCAAGGATCTCTTAGCAACACAGTCTGAACAGGAAAACAAAACCCAAAGATGGATCATTATCATAAGGTCCAAAAGAAACAATTTTCCATCTTTCTGGCCTGATGATTTGTTCTGAACTTAGGCTAAGTTCTAAGTAAGACAGAACCAATGTAGTGGTTCTCCAACTCTTATGATTCTTTCCAAGTTTGGGTAGAAGAGAGGGAGGATTCAATAAATTGCGTTAGAGCAGAAGAAGTAGATAGACTCTGGTGTGAAGGAAGGAGAAGGCAGATAATTCACAAGCTGCTAAGTAATTACATATGCTGTATCTATGGAGAGAGGGTGAAGGAGAGGATAAAGTACAATTCTCATTTTAAAAAGTTCTGACGTTGAGTGGTAGTGACAACATAATTCTTGTAAAATCAATACACAGTCTAACATTTTATTCACAGTAGATCCATATTGATTCTAGGAGTGTACACAGCTCTACAAATGTGATTGTCTTCTTCTAAAACCATTGTGGAGCAGACACAAACAACAGTTATGAGCACAGGACCTACTATAAGCAAACACAGCAAGACATTAAGAGGTAAGAGCTGAATGCACTAGAGGAAACAAATCAAACTATAAAAATCACACAAAAATTCTCAGCAACCTTAACAATTGTGGGACCATTTCAAGTCAGTGCCAATACTCTTTTACTCCTCTGTGGGCTATGAAGGCTTTACCTTACCATAAGAAGAACATTTAGAAACTTTATTTCAAAAAATCACTTAGTCCCTTTTACAGGTCAAGAAATAACCTCATTATTTTACTTACATTGTCTTATTTAATTCTCACTGTGACCCAACTAATGTAAGTCCTTTCCTAGACAATTTATGGATAATATCAAGTCTTGTGTGTAGTTTAAATTTCTGGTGGTACAGACC